CCCCCCCCCCCCAGCAAAACTGGAGTCTCCTTCTGGCACTGTGAGTCAGATATTAGCCTTAGAGAACGAATAAGATAATCTAAAGGAAGTTACATGTTTTCAACACTTTATCATGAACCGTAGTAAGTGAATGTCTGGCACCCTACAAAAGGCGGCGTTGGAGCTTCACTGTGAAAATTGACAGGTGCCGGGAGGGCGTTGTAAGAAAGTGCTGCCTCTGTTCACAGTTTAGCAATGTGGCCGAACAAGTACTCTGGTGGTAAACGATAAGGTTCGAAAAGAAAGCGAACCAGTCAGAGAGAAGCCACGTACTCACAGCTGAAGCGGATGAACCCTTATGACTTCTGATGGGAAATATCTGAAGATTACGCCTACGCTTACAATAAAATCCACTTAAAACTAAAATCTTTTTATAACACTTTTATTTCATTTTGTCTGGGAACTTTGGCATTCCGCGATCTATTCGCGATTCAACTTCATCACAACACCTAAATATCTACACAAAGACATTTAGTTACAGCGCAACTTACATCATCAACTTTTGGTCGTCGCCAACTGAACCGAACAAAGTTTCGTGCATCAAGTGCCAAGCAACATCCTCGACGACTGATGAGTGGCCAGTGAACACTGACTTGGCATCAACAGAGATACCCTCCGTAGCATTTGCATTGATATCCCACAAGCAGACAGTGTGATCGTCTGCCGCTGAGAGCAGGTATCCATTTAAGTTAAGATTCCACGAAAGACCATATCCCTCCTTCGTGTGTCCTTTCAACCTGAGCTGCGGTATGCAGAGACCGCTAGGATCTACAATACATAAGCAGTCATAATCGTAATAATCATCTTTTTGGCACTAACCGACAAAAAGAAAGGTCTGAATTCATTAACGATACAAAAACTCTAGCACTACGAAACCTCCATCAGAGAGAAAATAGTTTATACCATCTTAATGGTTTTAAAAACGTACTGGCCCAAAGGCACCTTCAGAAAGACTATTTTACTGCTAAACTTAGTGTAAATCTTTAATGATGGTAATTAAGCACATTCAGTCACGTGAAATTTACTACAAAACGGGACTTACCAGGTTTTGACGAATGCTTCGTATAGTCGAACACCAAAACCTCTGCCGTCGGTGTTTTGGTGGCAATAATGTATGGATTCTGAGGCATATACCGGGCACGATTCACCTCTCCTTCGTGATTGATTTTGATTATTGGTTCGACTTTTCCCGAAACGCTTCCAAAACCGCCAAATTCTTAGAAAAGATAAGTACTGAATGAACTAAAGAACGCATGCAACAAAAGTTTGAACCGGAAAATGACTAGTGAAATGAGATTCAGATAGAAACCAAAACGTAGTAGTGATATTTAGACTGCAGCTTCAAAACGGCAGGGAAATACCACACTGCCAGAACCAAAAGCTACTAATATTAAAATACCTTAAAGGAATGTAAACTGCAGAATTCCAGGGTCAGCTAGGCAAGACAGAAAGCTAGTTAGTGCTTACGTAAAGCAGATAAAACTGGAAATGGTAACTGAAAAAATAGAATACAGAAAGACGCTAAACCAGCTATGTGCTAACGTATGAATTGCAGTAGCTTACAGTAACTGGTAATATTCCAGGTAGTTTTCACTGAAACAAGTTTATGTATCAAAAGGCATCGAAAATGTTTTAGAATAGGCAGTCTATGCCGCAACTTCTATGTGCGTACTTTTCATGAAGAAACATAAACCAGGCTTTTTATAAATGGGTCTGGCGCTTTGGATTAGTTTGACAAAAAGCATTGTTCCTGCTAGTCCCATGAAAAGAACGATGACTCTATAGGGTATTAAACCTGAATTGTACCTTCAGATGTTTTTCTCATCGCTGTCATATCTGTTTAAATAACTTTTTACTGACATAAATGTAACGGTACGTTCGATTTGCTTTTAGACGCCAAAGAAAATACTTAACAGACAGTATTTTTGCGCCCACAGTCCATGGACATGTGTTTGGCAAGTGACATCATTTTAGTGGCTAATGCAGCCCTTTTCTCGTCATCAATGACATTAAAGAAGCTATGCTTTCGCAGCAACGTCGAAAATACAGGTTCAGAAGTACTGCGCAGTCATGACCTGCTTAAGAGGCTCACTACGCCTATAGTAGGAACAAAGCCATCTTAACTGGCAGAATTATATGTATAAACTTATTATGGGAGTTCAAACGCATATCGTAGACGTCAAATCTGTTACTGGTATTTGCCATCTTAGTACAATTTTCACATATTCATCTCACTGATGTGTACAGATATGCATGAATTCCGTGCACTGTATCGACACTTTTGTATAAAACACCAAGTGCATTTCTTACCAGATAATTTTTTAAAACATGGCAATACCGGACGATAATGAAAACAAACCGCTCGGTCTCCTCAAACTCCTTTCTTAATTGATCACATGAAATTTAATTATCAGCTAAACATTAGTACTAGTGTCACTCAAGATGAACTTCACTGAATGTTATAGTTTTACCCTAAGAATTTTCAACGCTTTGGTGCAGACGAAAATATCTTTTCCTACTCGCTATTGTTGCTGCTGTCGCTAACTGAGAATAATAAAATTTTAACAGCGAGTTGCCCTGATCGGTGCTGCCTGACCTGATATTCGCTACTAAATACGCGACCATGTCTTAGATATCGTCAGATGCCTAGTACCTAGTCGACGATAGACCTTTGTTCCAATATATCTGTTTATGTGGGAGGACAGCATGGGAGAAGGGCACTGAACTTGAATTACCTAGTTCAGGATTTTTGCTCCTGCTAAAATGAGGGTCGGAAGGCGGTGCAGGAGCCCGCTATGGTTGTCCGTCCAACTGCTACGGTGACTGCTCGAATTCATCAGTAACATGACAATGACATCTGCCTGCCGCCAAGACCTCACAGAGTGCTTCAATTCTCTGAATCTGTTGGATTAGATGAAGGTTCGGGAGCCATCAGCAATAATTCACGAAGACTCACATCCCAAATTCACGATGACTGCAGAACTATAACTCGCCAAAAAACGTTAAGGTAGAGACTGTAGGAACGTCAACACGTTCTTGGATCGACCACAATGACCACAGAATGAAAGAAAGAAGTTTCCAGAAAACCGGTTGCACGACGCCACAGAAAAGTGGATAGCCTCCTGCCCAGCTTAAATGCAAATCAGCAGGGAGCGAGTAGTATGGATGTCATTGCTGAATGTTGCGATGTAACTAAAAAGTCGGCGGCGCCCTGGTTATAGCGCCTTAGATTACACAACGAATTCGCTACATTTCCATGCTGTGAACTAAATTACGTCATCTGATGCCAAGGAACTGCCACTGGCAGCGGGGTGGAAGTCTTACTGATCGTTCAGATCAAACAAGAGATTCCACGATTTAGCTCGCGCACAGCACAAGTCATATAGGTACGGTAAAAACTGGGATCTCGTTGCATGAAATGCATACTCTTTTAAACATCTGTACTATAGTGAAAAGATCGCGTTATGTCCACAAACGTACTGAAGCGATTGGGCTGTTTTATATCCACTAACGTGCAAAGTCGTACAGAAACAGGCAAATTAGGAGAAATGCTTGAAATCATCAACTGAAGCATGTTACCTTAACTTAGCTTTCACCAAGCTTAAAACAACGTGGAATATAAGATCATTCTGTCAATTTTTACGTACCTCCTTTTTCAACATCGTATACAGATCCTTCGAACTGACTCTCATCGCTCGGCAACTGCACGCCCACGACCGCAACAAAATTTTGTTCTTCTGAAGTATGCGTTCCCAGAATTAGACGATGAGTTGCGTAGCCTTTTCCCTCAGACCTGAAAAGATTGACTATTTCCAACAGAATACCGTTATAAATTCCATCAAACTAAAATTTAAAAATTCAATACTTCAAAAAAAGATGCCCTGTTTCTAAAAATATCTGCGGCACCTTGCTACTGCTCGCAACAGATCTCTTCCATGTACAATGTTTAAGACAACCTCTGCGATCGACGTATCGACGGTAGTTTAACCTTCCCTACTGCCAGCATTTCCAAACTAAGAAAATGCCTTCTGCTTGATCAAAAAAAAGTTTAAGCGCATGATAACGGCAGAAATTTTTCACAGGACATAAATCAAATATCATGTAACAAAACTAAAAACTGATAACCAATTATACTGAAAAACAAAATATAGCCTGATCGAACGCCTGTAATACCTTATTATTAAATCTACCAAACGAAAATCTCAAAGGTCCTGCCAGATCGAGCATTTGATTTGCTGAAATGAAAGTAATAATAGGAGCTGAAACGAAAAAACATATGACGACCGCATTTCTTAATTAGTGGAATAGCGATTTCTACCTTAATCGATAAAACAGAATAAGTGTTTCACGACTCCTGATGACAGAAAATATTGAAGGGTCTATGAATCAAGTTACCTAACTGTTCAAAGAGCCCAAAAGGCTGGCAAGACAAGTTGGGTGAAAAGAAACAAGCCAAATTAGTTTAGGCTATGAAACGCTAATGTTGTGTTTGTAACGTAATACTACGATCTATACAATGTAATATTGTCATATCCTTCCTGTCGCTAATCACAACAGCAGTGTTGACAGAGAAATGGTAAGGGTGGCAAATTACGAAAACCAATACAGAAGCTAGAAAGGATGACTGATAGCCTGTGTTCTGAAGAACACAGCAAGTGACAGGCAAGTATGCAATCCACATATCTACCATGACAATACTTAATCATTACCATCTCATCAAAAATGGGTTGATCGATCATTTCTAACAGTATAAAAATATTTATTCTTTGCTAGCACTGGAATTTAATGTAGAGGAGTAGTAAGTATTAGTATATTCAGAGTGGATAAACCATTATACCAACCTTATTCCGATATCATGATAATATCAGTTCTGGGAAACTGTTCGCCCGATCGTCTTAGGAAGGCAATTCATTAGAGCTCTCCCATATTAGGTAAGCTTCCAAAGTGAATACCCTGTACTTTTCGTGCAAATACTGCGCAATGCCGATGAATCAGTGGCTTTCATTTGCCATTTTCCTCGATTTCACGCTACGTTTGTTTCAGCAAATCATTTAATGATGCAGAAAAACGCTACAGAATATTTGAGCACGTCACTTCCATTTAGATAGAGATGTAGGCATTAAATACGTTTGCCTTTAAAGTCGAAGGACAGTTATGTGGGTAGTGCCTCATTAAGAGTGAAAAGTGAGAGGGATATATCCCTTTTGCTTTTCACTCACTTTCACATTCACTCATTCTGATTTTCTTTTCGAAACACCGCTTACACTGGAAATATTCATAGCCCTGCCCTAGAGGAGATGCGCTGCTAAAGACACTTCTATGACCTGGGATACACAGGCCTTACTGCGACGATGAGTGGTACGGGAGAGCGCTTCGTCAATATTTTTGCAGCATGAAACACAGCTGTGAAAGCTTGTCTCTGCCTTACA